CGGATTTCTGGGGAGCCACATGATTGATATTATTTTATTATTGAATAGGCTGAGGCGCGTGACAATGCTTATGTTCCGAAGAAAATTAAAAAACTGAATAATTACTTATACTAGGTGCAATAATCCCGTTTTGGCTGTATGGGCGAGAAATTCAAAAATTTATAACTCACTCAAAACCGATCCAAACTACTCCAGAACATGAAGATAAACTCTATTGTATCTACGCAATGACCTAGATTTCTACAAAAGTTTTCAAAGCCAATACAAAGCATCTAAGTTTTGAAAGGTTTTTCTAGAAATCCTTCTGGGGGAAAAAAGTTGTTTTTAATTTTCTTCGGAACATAAGCATTGTCACGCGCCTCAGCCTATTCAATAATAAAATAATATCAATCATGTGGCTCCCCAGAAATCCGATGCCAGATCTAAACGATCGAAGATAAGAGTCTAGTCTGACTTGAAGACAATACTTTGGGCTATTCATTCATGAAAAAACCGAAATATGTATATCTCAAGTTTCTGAGCTATGATCTAGTTTCTCAAAGATCCTCTAGAAAACCTAGTTTGGAAAAATATATTCAAGACATCTTGCATTTCGTGGAAAGATGCAGTCACTTTCGATTGGTGAGAACCGTAAGTCTCTATCTTTTTCCTATTAAACGTTATTCAAAAAACATTCGAGATCATTTGTTTTCTTTTACCGACAATAATCAATTGCTTCATACATACTGTTCGGTATTTTTCTACTATTGGATCCCATTTTTTCATAGATTTTGATTCTTGTTCATATGCTGCTACACGTTCTGCCTAAAATAAAAATAGGTAGAAAATTTACGCCGATACAGTGAAAATGTGTATCACACTTTTTCTGCCTGTATTTTTGGTACAGGCTCTTTTAGAACTGCTTGATGTTTTGTTATTTTTGATAGTTGTCGTTTTAGTTCATTGATATTTTTATTTTCATTTAAACTTTTCAACAACTGGTAACCTTTGATCTTTTTTCCAGCTAAAAAACAATGTCAAAAATCGTTAGATATTTAATAAATTAGTCGCAATGGCTAACTTACTTGTATTTGTTGATACAACAAACTCGTTTGGAACAGTAATTGCTTCATTTCGAATAGTTACTTTCCTGAAAAATATATAAAAACACAATGTCTTCTAAAAATATGATCTTCTCTGATGAAAAACACATTTTGTTTTACATCTTAACGATGCTAATTAAAACGAACATTTTCTTCTATTCTACAGTAGTATATAATTAAACATTACCTCTTTTTGCCAATGTGAACGATTGAGTCAATTAAATTTTCGTGTTTACGTTTGGCACTTTCATTCTGAACAAAGAGATAAAAGACAACATCACTTCTCCTATCAGATTTCTTATATTTTTTTCTTTTTTTTTCTTTTTTTTACCGGAGTTGACTCGTCTTCATCATCATCATCACCAATGACTTGCTCCTCAATGAACTCTTCTTGCAACATCTAAAATAATTGATAAAATATAACATCATTAGTTAAATGAAGCACATTAATATAATACACAATGAGTAAACATCTGTCACTCTCAATCTAAAATCAAACGAGAACAAACGTCGGCTCTGTTATCAAACCTGAATGATTTTGAGTAAAGTTAGACGGTTTTTGAAGAGTAATTCATGTGTCACTCACTGGCATCTATTGACAAAAGACAGTTATTTACTATTTGACAAACGATTGTAGTATGTAGAAATATTATTTGATAAACCGGTTTGAAGAACAGATTAAATTTCCAGAATTTTTCAAGAATGAGCATAAAACTAGATTTTTCTTCTCATCTTTTGAACGCTAAAATGGTGGACATTGGTGTACTGAAAATTGAGTTAAAAAAAACAAATCATATTGAATACAAAAAAGACTATTATACACACGTATTACGTATTGCAAGAAATCAATTCAAATGCATGAAAATTTCAATTGTCACTTTTGATTAAGGATCTGAAAAAGCATTCAGTCTAAAATCCACTTGTATTTAGTAAGAACTATCTAAAAAATAATTGTTTTTATTCGTTGGGGTGTAATTAGCATACACCCACCTATGAAATATATGACAAGATGTCATACACAATAAAAAAAAGAAAAGAAAAACATTTTTACGTACAATACGTACAAAATAGCTCTCTAGATTTTTCTAGTAGAAGACAAACAAAAAAAGAAAATGAAAAAGAACAAATCCAAAGGATTTATGAGATCAATAATTTAGATATTAAAAAACATGTTCTTCCACGAATAAAACAGTGTCTAATCTATAATGATAAATTCAGATTTTTGCTAATTGTTGAAATAAATTTGAAGGTAAAATGGCTTCTATTTTATCTGTTAAATAATTAATTGGTACAGAAAACCATTGTATAAATAATTTAGCCACGTAAGCAGCCACTTCTGGATATTGATGAGTTAACAAAGCTAACATAGCTGTACCGGAACAAAGACCAGCTGTGAATAATATAAAAAATGGTAATTCTTTTTTAGGAAATACGGAAACATCATGAAATGCTAAAACATCAAATTTTATGTGTTTATCAAATAGGTAAAATTAAAAATGTGATATATTTTTAAGTACCAAAATACATACTTGGTAGTAATTCTCTATCTGCTGCCTCTGTACATGTTGGATACGGATGAAATAGGTGTCCTTTTTCTAATGGATATGGGATCATTCGGAATGCTAAAAGAGAGAAACAAATGGCTTAAAACCTATACATAAAATAGATTACATAAGACATACTTCCTTCCCAAGTACAATGAAGTAAATTTAATGCTCCATCGACTCTTCTCCAATGTGGTAAATGAAAGAAGGCGTACGCTATTGCTTCACTATCACCACGTTTAAGAATATGTTCAGGTGGTAATATTAGACTTTTCATTTCTAATAGATACTAAAAAGTGAGAAAACGAAAAATAAAAGCGACACGTTCATTTTATTTGAACAATTTTTATATTTTAATGTTGTTGTTTTTTTTTAATTACTTTTGGTACATGTGGATTAAATTCAACTGCTCTATGAATGGCTTCGACTGCTGACATTTCTGCCGTACTTAGACCACGTTTACTGGCTATATCAGGAGAAAATCTAAATGGATAAAATAAATAAAGTATTCGATGTTTATATAATAAACATGACAAATTTTATCTATTCGATGTATTAGATTAAAAAATTCGAAACTACAAATGAATGTTTGTGAAATGTTAATATACTTTTACAAATAGTCCATAATTTAAGTGAAATTAAAAATCAATTTTAGTCATTTTTAAAGCTTATTCATCAATTTTTCAAAACACAAACAAGAAATGAACAAATAACGACGTATCATGAACAAAAACAAAAAAAAAATGAATAACAACAAACCTACGTGCTCGCAACGGCTCTCGCTTTCAATAAAGCAGCCGTATAACATATTGTGGCTGATTTTGGTAGACTAATATCTATAATTAAATATAGAAATATTCAATGTAGTAAATTATTAAGAATTGTTTCAAATATGTTGTTTCTAACCATCATATTTAGCTAATACTGCTTGTACATCGGCATATGATTGCATCATAAGTAATACTTCAATTAAATTTTCATGAATATTAAATACACTCATCATTGGAAATTCTTTTACTAACTAAAAATAAATCAACAAATTATTAATATATATACTATTATAAATATTTAATCTATAAAATTTCTATTTACATCTCTAAAAATTTTTATTGCTTCTCTTGATTTTCCTAATTTTCGTGCACACATTCCAAGACGACGTTTAACATAAATTAAAATATTTGTATTTCGTTCTAAAAAATTAATTAAAAAATAAATTAATTACTATAGTCAATTATTCTGTATAGAAATACGTACTATGTATAATTTCTTGATTATGTCCCTGTTCTAATAGTTGTTGACTTTTTCTATATGCATTTTCTGCACATTTTAATGCTTGTCGTAGTAAACGTTCAACTTCAATAATTGTTGTAGCTTCTTCCTCTGCGAGTAGTATTAAAGCTGGTGTACATCTAAATATAAAAATAAAAAATATTTTATTATAAAATAGTCAAAAATCTTATTAGAGAATTTAATTAATAATAAAGGAAGAAATTGAAGATAATTTTTTGAGAATATGAGAATAGACAAAATTTTATTATTAGAATGATATTTACTCTAGATTTTTTTCTAATGCATCGTGTGCTAATTGTATTCTAGTAGCTGGTGTTCGTTCTCTCCACGCTCTTTGCATAACTAAAAACAAAACAAATATAAATCATGTAATATTCTCTTCTAGTTGATATTAATAACTATTTACGTTCATATTCTTGTTTTCCTTCATCTGCTTCACATGAGAAAAATGTCTGATGTTCTTGTGCTGATAAATTCATATCGTGAAATGTTAATGGTTCTTTTCCATTCGTTGTTAGTAGACGTTGATATTCTGAACCACGAAAGAGTGACATAGGATTTTTCCATACTTTACATTCTAAAGTATAAAAATAAAATAAAAATAATTGTAAAATCTATTTCGTTGAAATAAAAAGTCTTTTTTTTTTCTTCTATTACTCACCATTTGTACCAGTTACGGGTATATTACTTGTATCATGTTCTGTATTAGTTTCACTTGGATTCAAAATTGGAGTTAAATGATTTATAGATACTTGTTCAATAAACGATGTGCCATACTTTTTAAAATACCACCACTCAAATATCTAAAAACAAAATTCTATGATATACATAAGTTTTGTATTTTTGTTTATCATATGGCAAACTATTGAACAAATTTTCATGGATTTTATTTCACAATTCAATGTCTTACCAAAATAAGGCCAGAAATTAATGACGATGTGCCAGTTAATGCAACATAAAATTTTGGAGTTAACGTATTAAAAAACATAGTAGCTAAGAATAAAAGAATAGAAAAATTTTAATTAATATTACATAATAGAATTTATTTTAATTTTTATTCTCCTTCTATGATAAAGCGGCATATTTTCTGTTATATAGCTCATTCTACTGTGACACAACTATCAATCGAATATGTTTTTTGACTTAGTTATCTATACTTTAGAACTCATGCTAAAGAAAAAAAAATATATAATGAGTTTGATTATTGAGTTGATTTCGACATAAAAAGCGAAGTAGTATGGATTAGAAATATTTTTAACTACATGCGATGAAAATTTGAACAAATTAGCCTTCGAATGAACAAACATTCTTATTATTGATACAATCGGAGAACAACAAATATTTACTTCTTATGATCTATGAATCAATACCAAAAAGAAAAATGAAAACTATTTTTTTTTTACACACTTTTTTAAGTGAAGAAGAGTTTGTACTTTTAAGACATTTTTTCATATGACTTTCATCACTAAAAGAGATCTATTGTGTTTTTATTATACTTTTTCATTAAAAGATGAACAAATTTCTACTTTTCATCAATTTTCATAATATTTTTTTTAACATAGATATTCTATGTTCACTTTAACAACTCATACTTTCTAAAAACAAATTGTATCTTTAAAACTTCGAAAAAGACTTTTTATTTGCTTCAAAATTTCTAAACGTTTTCATTTCATGGATTGAATAAAATACTAACTGTGCTTCTCCATTGTAAAACATTCGTTTATTTTTACTTCATTTATTTTCTAAACTCAGAAAAAGGGTATTTTAAAATATTGAAAAAAAGATGTTGTAGTATGTTTTGTTTTTAATGATTTTATATATCATAAATAAATTTTTTTTACTTAATCTTACATCGTAATGTTGTACAAATATATTTTCATTTATTCTAAAGATGTATAGTGAATTTTTTTCAAGAACAAGTCGAAAGAACTAAGCAAAGAAATCATATAAGTATCATTAGAATGTCCTAAATGGTTTAAAACGTACATCAGTTTATTTTCCTTGAAAATGTGTTATGAGTTTAAACAAGTACGAGATGTTCTTGTACACACATTTGTCAGAATGTGAATTCATCTATAAATAAGTGAAATAAAGAAGAGAAAAATGATACATAATTATTCTGCTTCGTCAGTTAAAATAATCTAGATTTATTCTATAAATAAAATGTTGTTTGATTAATATTCAACTAAGAATAATAAATTGACCAATACAATGATACGTCGACAAAAAAATTAATCAAATAAATTAACGGAAATTAATATAGAATTTCGTTCTCTTTTTTTAAGACTAATATTCTTTTGATATTATTTTTTTTTCAAAAAATTATTTTGTGTAACATGAACTTTGAATGTAAGAGAAAAAGATTCTCAGAGTAACTTGAGACTGAAATGCTTTCTAAAGATACAAATGTTAATTCAAATGGTGTGCACGGTTTAATTTTTCTTTTTTCAAGAAGATGTGATAATGTTCAGCAATGTGTCTATCAAAACTCGTTTGCCCGATCTGTGATCATTTGGAATTGGTTCTATATTACAAGAATGACTCTTGCAAACTATACAATTTCAAACAGTTTCGATCTGTGACGAATTGAACTTTATTTACGATTGAAAATTTTGAATGTAAAAATCGTTTCACAAAGTAAAGTAGAATAATATTTTTAAGAGTATAATCATTTGAACGATACAGGAAACATCTTTTAATTTTATATTACGCATAGATACTCAAAAGGGATAAGACATCGTTCAAACTAAAATGAAGTTTTTCATCAATGTAGAAGAATAAAAATTGATTGTATTTCGCTCTTCATTGTTTTTTTCTATAATATATGTTTTTGTTTATTTTTCGCGCGCGTTAGAATCAGCCATGTTTATTAGTTATTATTATGTGTATAGCAGCAAAAAAAAAAAGCAGCATTAGTCAGAAAAACTAGATTAGAATGACAGTAGAAAACAGAGATGTTACTAAAAATATACTATGTTGTTCCGTTAGTTTTAGTTGATTAACCATGCGAAGAAACATCAACACACAGATAAATTAATTTTCACACTTACAAAATATAACATTTAACATATTTGGTTACTTGTAACAATAGAAGATAAAAGAAAATGTAAATAAATTTTATAATTCTGTTCTATTGATATTTTATACAATAATATTAATATCTAGAAGAGGATTAACATCATTCGGTTTTTTTAATTAAACGCACAAATTAGATAAAACAACAACCATATAGATACACACACACACACACACACACACGCACACATATGCTACAACAACCAGCTAACTAGAAAAACACGACTATTCTCTCGAAAAACATACGATAGGATGGAAATTTCTATTTCTTCTTTTACTCTCTTCTTTTCTTTTTAATGAAAGGAGACAGCAATAGGAAAAGGCAAAAAAACGGATGACAAATTATTAAAAATGTATAGAGAGAGAGAGAGAGTAAGAAAAATGTTTATGGGCAAACGTGTATCACTATAGTTGTTGGAAAAATAGAAACAAGAAAAAAAAAGAAAAGATTTTCTTATATTCGATTATCTAAGCTAGTTCAATGGAACCTTCTTTATTCAACCAACTATCGCTTCTATAAATAACACTCTTATCATTTCGTTCGAGAACTAGATTGAATATCGTGTCATCCATTAATGTAAAAACTTCAAGGGTTAACTATATGTTCTAATTTAAAAAGAAAAAGCAGTTAATAAAAAAGCTATGCCATGTAAACACTGTCACAATAGGTTTTTTCCTAGGATAATGACACACAAAGTTGTTGCATGAAGTTTATCTTAGAGTGTTCAATTAACAAAAAACTGCTCGTAGCAGATGGTACCAGTTTCAAAGACGACGACAAATACGAGATATTTATATACTTTTTTTTATTCTCATATTTCGCGTATTTTAATGAACTTTTTCTATTTTAGAGGCTTATTTAAAACTGGAAAAGGTCAATTAAAGAATGATAATGAAACTATCACGATTATATTACAAGTCTGTGAATAAATACGTCTAGGTGGTGACATATGACCTTATTCTTATTTTATTTTCATCAGAATGTGTTAAAAGAATAAGAAAAGATGAAAAAAAAACAATGAAAACAATAGAAAAAAAAGAAAAAACATAGAAATGCATATGAAAGCGTATGACACATCCATATGTAAAATTGTCCCGCTTATACATATAGAATTATTTATGAATGTCATATGATGGTGAGAGAACAGAAGAGAAAAGAAACAACGCTTCATAATCATTGGAGAGAGAGAGAGACAGAGACAGAGACAGAGGAGATGACATTTCTTTTTTGAAAAAGAACAAAAAAAAGTATAAAAAGGTATGTGACTTTTGTTTCCTTGTTGGCGTAAAAAGAAAAAAAGGTAATTGAATTGAACTCGCACCACTTAAAAAAAGAGGAAAACAAGAGAACTGAGATTTTTTTGTTTCTATTAAGTATCAATAAGTAACATAGGTGACTTTCACAGAACAAACACTTAATTAATCTTACTATGAGTAAGATTGAAAAGTAAACTGTTTGTTTCACGTTGCAACACAATAAATGAATTTCATAAAAAAAGAACAGAATTCATAAAGTTCACAAGCGATTATGTGAAGATTGGGAAGAAGTGATTCAATAATCAATAATTTGAACTGTTTATCTTCACATTCGAATAAAAGATACAAAAAACATTGTGCAATGAATTTTTGTCGAAGATCAGATAAGTATGAGCTATTTATCTCAATTTTAAAGGTTCTACAATGTAAACGATCTAACATTTGCTATCGTTACTTAAAGAAATTTTAACCTCTCAATATCATTTGATGCCATTTTTTGAGATAAAGAAAAAGATTCTATAAAAATTGTTTTTAATACAAGATATAGATGATATTAGATCTACACTTATTATAATAAAACTCACCTGTTGTAAATGATTGTGTAATTTTTAAAGGTCCTCTCATTAGATAAACAAGTATAACAACAAGAAGAAAATAAATTGCCCATACATATGTATAAAACCATTGTATAAACGATTTCAATTTTTCAATAAACGAATCACATAATATTAGTTCTAGACAGATGGAGACTATTATTACAGTTAAAAAAACAGATTATTATTATGTTCAATTACCTTCAGTTTTACATGAATTTGTTTCCTGCTGCTGCTGCTGTTGTGGTTGTTGTTGTTTATTCATAGTTAATTTGTGTTCGTTTGAACTTTGATAACTAATTAAATAATGATATGAATCAATTAACAAAGAGAATGACGTTGATGATTGAAACGCAATACACATTAGAAAAAAATAAATAATTAGAAAACAAAGAAACACAACAAATCACATAAATATCATCTAAAACCAGACGATGTTATGAATATTATACGAGAAGTCAAACGTTATTGTTGCTCCAAATAAACTAGATGTTGACTAACGTAAGAACTTCATAATTCTCTCTAGAAGACTCTGCATAAGTACTATTAAGTAAGTTGATGGCTTTTTTGTTAGATTTTTTAACAGAAGAGCAACTTTCAAATACATGAAATAAAATTAGCCAGTTATTTTACTTCCTTAATGGTATTGAAATAAAATATAGTTGATATTTTGTCTAAAACAAGAGGTTATCAAAAAATGTTTAGACTGATTGAATATTTTCGTTAATCATGTGTATTAAAATTTTAAAAATAAGTCATTTTATTTATTTTACGTTTGCATATAAACATGAAAAACATAAATATGTTATATATCGAATTTGTAAGGGAATAGTCGACAAGAAAATACTTTCACTATCTCACATCACAAAGAGGATGTTTAATAGTTAATAATTTTAAGCATTTTAATGGAATTTATACTTCGTGAACGAGAAGATAGAACGAGAAAACAGCAAATATCATCAGTTATAAATATTTATCTCGTTTATCAGATACCGTCTGTAATAGGATCTTAACGCGATATGACATTACATGAGATAGATTGAGACGAATTATTGAGTCAGGATAGAATGGAATAAAAAACTTGACTTTATCTCTTTTTTCTCAAAAAATAATCTCAAATGGTGACTAGATACATCAGTGAGTAATATGTCTTGAAGAAAAACTGAATTTATCATTCTATCTAAAATACATGACACTTTTGAATTTGTGATGTGAAAATCCATATGTCTATAGCAAAACTTCTTGTTTCCAGCGTGAGTTTTTTGACTATTTTTCAATGCTAATATGCAGAGATGAAGGCGAAAAAGTGAAAACGTATGATGAACTAATCGAGAAATAACGATTACTCAATAATCTAACATAAAATACTGAATACTACGTCTACAAGTGAAATTAATTATAAATTTCTTGTTTATTGCACAATATAAGTAAAATCGCTCAATCCATCATCTCTCCAGACAGAATAGAAGACTCAGATTTTTTAAGATTAGTAATAATAATTGAGTAAACACATACTTTTGGAATTTCAGATTCAACTGAATTTTTTCAACACAAATTCTGTTGATGATCAAAGGCATGTTAGCAGTTTGATTTCCTGCTCAGTGTTTGTTTGTCTGTAAAATAGCAAATCGTTTTAAAAAACGTTCAAATTACAATTGCAAGTTCTCACCAAAAAAGCAGAAAATCAAACTTTAAATGAACAGAAACTAGGTGAACAAACGAAAAACGATCGTTTTATACAGTCGTAGTAATAGAAATAAAAAAGACACGTGTCAAATACAACGTTTTTATTTTACTAGCTTTGGGTAAAACCGTTAATTGATGACAATTAGCTGTTAATTAATCTTGAATTAAATTTATGAAATACGAAATGCTGTTTGTTTGAATTTAGTCTATTACTATTTGGCTTGAATAATGCGTCATCCACATTTATGAAATATTGAATGCATTAACCTCATAAATGTGGGTGAGAAGCCAAATAGTAATATAGTAAATTGAAATAAATGTGAATGACACGATAATTAATTAAAGAGTCTACGATAGATATTGATTCTTATACTCATCTAAAATTAAAAAAGTCAATTTTAACCGTAAGTGAAATGAATTTTAGCGATCCAGAACAAAGGGTGAATAAAATTCACACGATGTATTCAAATAGCTATTGATATATTGTATTCATACGTATTGACACAAAATTCACAAACACAAAAATCTCAGCGACAAGAATGAGATAAATGACTAAATTTTCTGATCTAGTAGAAGAACATGTGTTATTTTCTTTTTAAATGATGAGAACGAGAACTATTTTTTGTTTTTTGTAAAAGGTGATTTATAATCATAAATAACAGTAAGAGAAAAAAAGAGATCTGAACAGTTTGAACAAAATATCGCTCATATCTCGATTGACTAGTATCCAATATAAGTAAAAATAAATACTCAACAATAACAGTAATACTCAACAATAACAGTAGAAAAATACGCAGAATTCAACAAAAATAACAAAAAATAAATAAATAAGAAAGAGATCATGATGATAGTACTTTTCTTGATAGAATTTGTTTTGCAGCCTACAAAATAGAAAATGATGTAAGACTCAGATCATATTGAAATGATCTAAACTTAAAATACCTCTTGATCATGTGGGCCCAATAAACCTTTGAGTAAAAGTATTTGATAGACAGGTTTATTAAACGATTGATATGTACGACGGAATAAATAGATTTTTTTCTGTGGAGTTTTTAAAAAGTGTTCACATTGAAATTTAGATGTACTTGGATCATAGATTAACAAACGAATTGGACCTGTACACATCTGTTCATAACCAATTATTGTTCGACTATGACCTAAAATATATAATAAAAGCTATCGAAATTATGCACTGTTATCCTTTTCAGAATACGGAATCAGTAAAAAAATTTTTAATAACTTCTGAACGAAAATAGATAGAGAGTTGAGAGAGTTTTGCCATTCAAAAGAGTAAACTGAGGGACGCCTTTTGGTAAACAAAACAAATTTCAAAAGCCTTTTTAGAAGTAAGGTTCTCGGAGTTCTTTGGAAAAACAGGTCATGCCTCCAAAACTTCGACTAAGACTATTTTCATTTTTTTCATGGATAGATAGACCGGCTTGTTCATGCGTTACACTGTAACGTTTTTGACGCATTAAAATCCGCTTTTCTCAAAAACGAAATGAGCTAGAGAATTCGTTCTTGCGCCGTTCGACGCAGCTTGAGCTTCTCTATTTCCCATATAAAATTCGAAAAATTTGATTTAATTTTGGAGGAGCTAGGTGCAATTTACCAGGCCGTTACACTGTAACGAAAAAGGCCCTTTTTTTCCCAGTGCCTGTCATAAAGTGCGAAATTCCTGCGAAGTTTCTCAGTGAAGCAAAAATTCACTTGAGGCATTTTTGTAGAAGACGAAATTTGCTATCGAATGATGAAATGATCAAGGTGCTATTTGTTTTCCGTAATTAAAAAACTCAATTATACTACCGTTACACTGTAACGTTTTTCGTTACACTGTAACGCAATTTTAAGGTTGTAACTGCGGTACTCTTAAAAACTCATTTACATCGCCGTAAAACGTCCTAGAGACGCCAAATTTTTACCAAAGCATGTTCTCGAACATATCTCTAGACCTTTCTGGAATTTTTCGGTTTCGACTAGTTTTGGAGGAGTTATACAAAAAAAGCGGTTATCACTGTAATCCACCCGAAATACTGCTTTTGGAATGTAGATTTTTCCGGTCAGGTTTTTTCCATGATATTTATACACGGTTGGAATCAGCATCGAATTCTGAACAAAATGGCTCATTTAGATTTTCCCGAGAACCGCTTTACAGCCTGGTACAAATGGCTTCCCAGATTTTCGACAAAAAAACTTCCGCAACGAAGTAGCGCGTTACGTGAACAAGCCGCAGAGTGTGCTCTTCAAAATGAGAGTGTGTTCAGGTAATCTTGAAATCGCATGAAACATGTGTAATTGATCACACTGCATCTGGTGGCAATGTTTATTTTTGGAAAAAAAGAATCGAAAACCTGGTAAAAAATAGTTTTACCAAAACTAGATTTTTATGTCGACAGACATTATGTGCTTTTGATTGGAATGTTGCTGTTGTTTCTTTCTCGTTTAGTGACCTTTTTTTGCAAAATGTGTACACCATGATCTAGAGTTCTTTTTTCAAATAAAAGTCTAGAGTCAGCATCATAAACTCTACAAGTGGAAGAAAAATGAGCTTTGGACTTAGAAGTTTTTCAAAGTTCATTAGTATCAGTTGTCTGGCGCCATTTGTTCTTTAGAAAAATAAAAATGGTTTTCTTTCTTTCATTCTTTCTTTTGGTTTGTAAAGTATATTTGATTGATATAGAAAATCACAGTGAAAGTGGTTCAGGAAAACTCTGCAGACAGCTGTTAGCAGAGATAGTCTGCCAATATCGCAAGTTGTGCGAAGTTTTTCAGTTTGTTTTCATCTAATCCTAAAAAAGTTCATAGTTCATTCAAAAAACATCAGAACCAGTTGAAAACTTCAGGATATGGTTCACTTTGTGCGCTGAATGTGATTAGCGATTGAAAAAAATTGAAAGTCCATCCTTCAGGCCAAAGATTTTTTAGAAGCCGCTTTGGAAAACTACGGAGTTATATAAATTTTTGTAGATTTACCATCAATAGAATATAGAATATCATAATTATTCTACATTCTGAAGTTTTCAACTCGTTTTGATGTTGTTTGAATGAACTATGAATTTTTTAGTATTAGATGAAAACAAACTGAAAAACTTAGTTTTGGTACTCTATTTTTACCAGGTTTTCGATTCTTTTTTTCCAAAAATAAACATTGCCACCGGATGCAGTGTGATCGATTACACACACACTCTCATTGTGAAGAACACACTCTGGTCTGTCTAACCATGACCGGTTTTCCAATGACCTCCGAGAACCTTACTTCTAAAAAAAGGCTTTTGAAATTTGTTTTGTTTACCAAAAGGCGTCCCTCAGTTTGCTCTCTTGAATGACAAAACTCTCTATCTATTTTCGTTCAGAAGTTATTAAAAAAGTTTTTATCGATTCTGTGTTCTGAAAAGGATAATACTCAGTTTCAGTCAAACACAATGAATAATGATTATCTTATAAGTAATTAAATAGTATAACTCACTGACTATTACATGTTAAGATCTCGATATAAATACACTGATGTATTTGATTACCTTCATGTTGTAAATACAGTGGGTGTACAATTTTGTCTGATTTTAACGTTTCATTATCAAAGTAATTTTTAATCCATTTAAATAAATGTAAGTATGAGTTTGATTTTGGACCGTCTGTTGACTGGTGAAAATCTAGTAATTCTGTCCTGTAAAAAGCGGATATATACATATCGACTTTGAAAGAAAATAAGCTGAACTAAACTGCAATCTTTTGTAATTAAGTAGACTGCGTTAAACTCTTACTTAATTTTACAATGAGCTAAACATGCCATTATTTCTGTTGGTCCAATCCATTTTGTTGATTGATATAATCTTCTGTTAAATTGTTCTCTGCCTTGGCTATCAAATCCATTGTTCCATGCTTCTTCAATTAACTGTTGTAATCGACTCACAGACGGTATATCGCATTGGTCACCAAACAGTTGTTGACGATATTGAGGATCATGCGCCATTGACGACAGTAGCATTTGAAGATTTTTGTAACCACACGACCAGCCTCCATCTAACCAGGTAGCAGCAAAATGATCACAATTTGATACTAGACGACGATCAATGACGCCTCCAACACCATTTATAGGAATAGAACGACGAATTAAATTAATAATACCTGAATTAAACAATTTCTATTCTAGTTCTTTTATAAAACCTGCTATTTAAGATTCAAAAATACCTTGTGTTCGTGATTCTTTTCTTTCAATTGGCTGCACTACTAACTTGCTTAAATTCATTTTACAATCATTATATTGTTGTTGACTGATCCATGCTTTTTTCAAACAATTATCTAAATTCCATTGAGCACGATCACTAAACGACTGTTCACTCGCGCCATATCTACGCTTGAAATAAACAAAACATTGTTACAATATCTCTTGATCTTTACACATGTCAAACTTTTCTCATACTTGAAATGCCTGAAAATTTTCTTCATCTTCCTCTTGTTGTAAAGCCATTGCTAATACTGGATCACTAACGTAATTCATTGTCTCCATCATCTTTGACGTTTCATATTTTTCTTCCATTAGTTCACTTCGCTGTACATTCTGAGCAATTAGATAATCATTGATTGTTGTTAATGACATTGTGGCTGCTGTTGGAAATACACTGTTAATAGATTGTGATGATGAGTTCAATTGTGAATGATCATGATCTTCTTGGATATGAATTTGTAAAACAAGACAATCGAAAAATATCTGATCACAAATAGGACAAGTATATTCTATTTCACATTCATATCGTTTATGTAGCTGAAGTAATGTTTCATCAGAAAATGTACGATCACATACTTCACAATAACAGATAGTGCCGTCTAAATCAGATTGTGGCTCAAAATAAGTTGTATAGGCGTTTGAAGCTATGGCCATAATAAATTTCATATAATTTAAGTTATCTAAAATATAATATGAAAAAACAACAACACACAGGAGGCTTTGTAAATAGAGTCCATAAATGGCTTGTACTATACATTATGAGGATGAAGTTATCTTTTTTCGATTTCATTTATTTTTATTTTTTTGTTTCGTTTCATTTTCTTGCATGACAGGATATCAGCAGCAAGCAATAACAAATTAACAATAACAGCGTATATCAATAATAAAGAATGCAAAAGAGAACACAGTATCTTAATAAGAGTAAAAAACAATGGAAAATTTAACAAGTGAAATACATGTAATCAAACAAACAAAAATCATATCATCACCGTCAAAGAAAAAATCTAAGCAAGACACGCGCAATGAAGATAATAAAACAAAATAATAACCCATCAACAACAAAAAACAATTACAGATATACCCTATAGATATAAAAAAAGTAAAGGAACTAAAACCAAACTAACAAGAGAACAATCTCAGATATTCAGTTCCGCTTTTTCCATACAATTTCATGGTAGCATCCTCTAAAGATCGAGTTTTTGAAACTTCCTGATGAAGAGATTGTGATACGACTAGATTGTAGCGCATACCGAATTTTTGATAGGAAAAACGGTTTTAGATCAAAAAGTAAATTTCTAAAGTTCACAAAATTTAGCACAATCATGAATTTCAGCGAAAAAATAGTTCTATGAAAACTTGTTTGTTATGGCTGAGAATTTGTCCATATAGGCAATCGGCTAAAAACTAGCCGATCTTCTAAAAAAATTTGAGATGGATCTCTAGAATACAGTACTAGGAAGCTATATGGAAAAATATGGACACAGAATTCGTAATCATCATAAAAAATAACCTGTAAAAACTGATGTTTCAATCAAATCGGATTGATTATCTGAAATAGTCTCACGTAAGAGAAGTCGTCGTACAATGAGAAAGAAATATTTCCTATGATTAGAGAGAAAGACATAGATAGATAACGGTACAAAAGGTAAAAAACACACATATATCGTTAAACAAGTTTTCAGCACCGGAATACTGAAGAAGACAGTTTCTATGTTTATAACACAGTTAGCATTTCATAAAAACACAAACACTCGGTGTACATCCTATAGAAAAACAATAACATTAATTATCAGGTGTTAACAGCAAAGTAACAAAAAAAAAAAATACAAAAAAAAGCAACAACTGTTCACCCAATCGCTTACTAAATGATCTTGTGATGGAAAAATGAAGATGACATAAACCTCAGAAAGAAATTTCGATAATAAAATAACATTGAATAGGATTGAATATACTGAATCGTACATATTTAAACCTGATTCCTTCGTTCGAAGAATAAATATATATTACTGGACATTTCCTTCATACTGTTCAGGAAAAGGAAGAAAAATGATTAGAAATGCAAGCTTGATAGTCTAGCATTTTTCTGAGTTGACAAAAAAAAAGTGGAGATATGAAAAACAAAGAAAGAAGGAACGTAAATGCTTGATTCAAGCACACATACATGACAAGATAAGCATTAGTCGAAAAATCAAACAGAAATAACCACAATGATTATTTTCCTATAAAGAAAAAAATTCACACGACAATAATTATTGCTCACAATACATGTATGTGGCTGAATATCAGCATGATAAAGAGAAACAAGAAAGCCTACGTAAAAAAGAGGACAAACAAAAAAATGGCACCCTGAGTACTTTTGTTTCAAATGAAAATACACACACACACACACACACATAGATAATGAAAGAGTAGGGGATTGAAAAACAAAACAAAGTGATTGTAGCCATAAAGATTAATCAAGAAATCGAAAGCATCAATGCCATTACTATTCAGCTTTTCATTCATTTATCATTTTTTCTTTTGCTGTTTGTCAATTTGTTTTTTTTGCTGTTTTTTTTATTTATTTTTAATAACGGTTATCGTTCGCGGTTTGGTCGCTGCTAAAACACTGAATGGATCTACAATGATATGAGTAATATCTCTTGTCGCAGTTAATGATTTTTGTTGCTGATGTTGCTCTAATTTCGGTATAAATAATTGATATTGAGTTTGAGAAGGTATGGGAGTTGCTGGAGGCGTTAAAGTATCGAAACACAGAGTTTTATTATCGTAAGATGATAGAACAGATTTTAAATTTTCAATTGCATCTAAACAACAAAAAACATTTATTGTGTGATAGTTTGGAAGGACATTGAATTAGTTTTTGATTGTAAACTCTTCCTTTTAAATTTTATTAACAGAAATTATTTCAAAAATAATTTTTATATATTTCAAAATAATTTTGAAATATTTTCTGTTAATAAAATTTAAAAGGAAGAGTTTACAATCAAAAACTAAAAAACATTTATTTCAGAATGATTCCAGTATGATCAGATATAGTGTAATCAACTTAATAAAAAGTAAATAAAAAACTTTTCTTAATGCTAACCTTGATCTTCTCGTTTTGCTGATTGATCAGTAAAACGACGTTTAATACTATTATTGAAAAGAACATTCGTTACTGTATGCCCACCAATATGCATACGTTGAAAACGTTGATTTCCATTGTAACCATCGTTTACATCTAAAAATCAGAAAAGACACTTGCCATTCTTTTTATACTTGTCTATTGTGCAATATTCTTACGTTGAAGTGCAATCGAAGCACTATTGGCATCTGAAAATGTCACATAGCCATGTTGAACTCTAAACAATGATTAAGCTGTAACTTGAAGAAAAAGTAAAGTTAATAAATTTACTTTTTCTTTTTCACTAATTCAATTTTAATATTAACATCAAATCTTTCGAATCTTTTTCTTAAATCATGTTCAGTCATCGACAATGGAACGTTACCAATAAATATTGTACGTAAATCTAATTCATTGAGTGTAGGCTGATGTTCTTGTTTCGATTTTAAATTTCGATGAATTGGTAATGAAGATAGTACAGGTAAGATGGACGGTTTTCGAGCAGAAATTGCTACAGAACAACGTGAATTACCTCCAATGTTATATGCACTAATAAAAATGAAAAACAAAAATTGTAGTTCATAATACTGCGAAAGACTTCATTCATCTTTAGCAAGAGCGAACAGCATATACTCCCAATACGGAAACACAAATCTGTTTAGAAAATGAGTCTTCTGTGAAATGTTCGTGTTTACTAAAATGTAATAATAACTTCCTTTTTCTCCCACAATTTGAGTACTAAATCTTAATAACTGAAATGAGCCTGGTCGGATAATTACCTATTTGAAGGTTTTGTTATTGATTTTTTCACTGTTTTGAATATAGCCGCTGATGTAGGTACGGCTTGTAATGACAACGATGTTTTTGGTAGTAAATTTACTTTTGATATTGGTGCATACGGGATGAAGGTTGCTGTTGTGGGTATTTGTGGTTCTTGCTTTATTTCTTGTTTAATTGTTATTACTTGAGTAGTAGACGCTGACTCTGCGGTTTGACAGAAGCCAAATTGATGATCAAACCGTCCTTTAAAATCATTATTATCCTCTGTTTCAGCAATAATTTTTGTACCATCTGTTGTTAAAAATTCCATTTTTGGTGAGCACGCTGGCGATGAGAAAGGTGTGACAGACACGGGTACCGTTGCGTTGCAACCCAATATTTTTAATGTTGATGAATTATCATACAAACATGATGCATGTGCACGAGCCGCTGCTGCTGCGACATCAACCGATTGTTTTCCTCTACAACAACATTCATTTTCTTCTGGTTCACGTTTCAAATTATTCAAATTTTCTATAAATGCATCATTCGCAGTTGCTTGTCTTAATACATTACATGCAACTACTTGCGCAGCTGCATTTACTCCTGTTCCCGTGATTGCTGATGGTGAAACTGTTGTGGTTGTTTGAAGTGAGGGTGGTGTGGATTGATGATGACAACAGGCCGTTGTTGGTGTTGACGATGATGTTTTATTAACTGGTTCCTTGGAGATAAACTCACCATTACGGAACAGAATAACTTCACGAGGATTTGTTCTTCGTGTTTGTTTGGGAGATGTGTAACGATGAGTAGAAGATAACTGACAACAACATGATGTACGATGATGATGAGTTAGATCCGTTTCACATAGGCTCGTTGTTGGTTTCAAATCAGAACAGCGTGTAGCATCTTCAGCTATAATAACGACACTGGCTTTTGGCTCTAAAAACGAAAAAAACAACTAATAGACTACAGATTTATAAATTTTTGTTGTTGTTTCTCTACTTTTTTGTGTTTTACCTCACACCGACAGGTAATGGGTCTATCTTCCTTATCTTTCTTTCAGATTTATAAAAACAAAACACACTAAAGCAGTATAAAGTATCTAGATTTGACGAGAAGATGCATTGACTTCTGCGTTTTTCTTTCTGTGCTATTAACTTTGCTTCCCTAATTGTATTGCTGTTACTGACCTGCATTCGAAGTCAAACGTCGTGCTGCATTTCTTTGCAACCTGAATAAAAAAATCAACGCTGCCTTGGCTATTTTTTATCCATTTCATTCAACTTACGCCTTTGCTGTGCTCCGTCCAACACGTTTCAATCTTTTGCCTCTCATCAATCGATTTTCCTGCTGAATCACAGTGGTAGTAGTTGTCGTTGTTTTTTTTGCTTAAAAAATACAATTTTCTCGTAAAGTCGTAACTCGATATAGTAAAGATATTTATTGTAAAAATAATGTTTATTTTTTGAATCTAAATACCTTCAAATTGTTCGAAAAGGCTAGCTAAATCATTGGCAGTTATTCCTAATAAAAGAAGGAAAATATTGAAATACTCAAATACAACAAAATGGTACCAGAAGCAGAGCTTTCTTTAAATGATCCATTCGCTGTTTGCTCACCTGCTAGGGGATTTGTATCTGTAACAATTGGGTTAATAAATGTAATTTCATTTCCATTGACAAATAACGAATTTAGATACTGCTCTTGCTCATACTCTTCTTGTTTTGTTTCTTGACTTTCTAAAGTTTCTGAATGTGTTGGTGTCGTTGTGTTTGGTATTTGTTGTTCACCTGTTGTTAGTGGACATAATGGTAGAAAATCGTTCGCAGTTATCCAAGAATCATCGATAAAAAACGAAGATGGTTTCAATAGTTTGTCATCGTTATCGTTTAGTAATAAAAAATGATCATCATTAACAGTTGCATTTGTTTGTTGATCGAATTGTAAATAGTCAAATTCATCTAAGGAAAATTAAAACATATTAGTCACGAAAAAGCAGCTGTTTTTGTCTTCATATATTTACACACAAGAAACTTGTAGTTTCTCGCTCAGCTTCTGAGAATGCTTAAGACGCTAGCTCTGCTGCATGACCAAGCACAAACCATTTCTTTAATAGAAAAAGTACTATTTCTTGGTAATATCTTTAGTTTTTATCTTAAATTGTTTAGTCAACCAAATTCTCCCTTTTTTTTCTTCCTCATTCTACGTACCTAACAATAAAGGTTTTATCCAATCATCATTTTCGTCTATTGTTGTTGTGCCCGATGCTGAAAATAGATCCACATCAAGAAAATCATTAAAAAACGGCAGCGTGGATGTATCGTAAGTGGACTGATACTCCATTGTTTCCATTTTTCTTAATTATATGACGGTAATAATGTTAAATTAGCCTAAATGATCGGATATAAAATTGCCTAATTACACAATAATACTGTTCGTGGATATCAAATCTAATTCTTTTCGATGTTGAATAATGGACATTGATTAAAATAATAGGTTTTTAGAGAATCTGAAAAGGTAAAGATCGAAATCGTTTTTTCAAACAACACGGTATAAAAGAGATCAGAGTACGATTAAGAGTTCAAAGTCCACCAAAACGCATGTACAGACGTGATAATAATTTATGCGTGATAATAATAATAATTCGAAAAGATTATCACTGTGGCACAAAGTTCCGATTAATTTTATTTTCGGGATATATTTTGAGCTATCATCTCCACGAAGCAAGAAAATACCAATATAGTCACTGTCTTTAATATAAACTCTTGGTAAAATGGGTTTCCACAAAACACCAGCACAAGTTTTATGTTTGTTCTGCTAAAAACAGAGTAGAAATCACATTTTCAAAGTAGAAGTCCACTCTACTCTCCCGTGACGCACAGATCATTAAAAACGCTGCATGAAAGACTTTTTAGGTGGTATCGGTCTGTGCACGTACCTTTCTGCACATTAACCATCCCTTGAGAATAACACCATCTTGCATCCCATAACGTTCAAGACAAAAAGATTTAGCTAAACATCTTCGATAGGCTTTATAGTTGGAACATTTCGTCGAACAAAGAGTCAACGTTTTTTCATGGTCTGATTTGGATGCGCTGCTACTCGAAAAGTTATCACTTTAGTTGTCTCTGCTTTTCGCTTGAAACTTTTTCTCACCAAAGAAGTTATTACATAATTTACTATTACTAATATATATTACTAACAAAAACAACACCACTAGACTATTTCAATACAATTAAAATGTGACTCTTGAGATGTAATAGTAATAGCAATAGCAACAGCCTAAACTATAAAAATTCTTATTATTTTCCTCAGCTAGAAAAACCAACTGCGTTTCTATATTCTGTATTTCGCATTGCATTCATTACATGTTGCGTATTTTCTTTATAGAAAGAACGTAAGGTACCAGCAAAAAAGCCATTTTCTTTCTGTGGAGTAAATACTCTTTTATGACGTGATCGCATAGTGCAGAAGTGTTTTAAACATCATCCCGGTAACATTTATTAGAGATTTTCCTGCGAAACGAAAGAGAAAAGGATATAAAAATGAAAAATGTTTTGACGAATGTAGATTCGTAAAGCAAAGTCAATCCAGATATTTTTTGAAAAATCTGGCGTTTCATAAATTGCTACTTTAACAATTTGCTGATTCAGCAAGGATGTAGAGCAAACGTTTCTCTACAAAATGAGAGGTTGGACCCGATTGCAACGAGGAACGTAAGAGGATTTGAAGTAAAAAAAGAGGAATGGATTTTTCAGCCCGAAAACTGCTGTGACAAGTCATTTTGGGCCAAAACCCAATTTATCGAACATCACGTGTCTGTATGAGACTAAGAAACTAAGACTAAGACTGTTTTATTCACGAAAAGTGAGAGAGTCATCAAAGGTCACTGACCTGTAATAAATGACTCAAGCCAAACAACACAAAAAGAGTAATAAAAAAGAACAAAATAAATAAGACAACTAAGGTTAGAACCAGA